TCTAGTCTTACACTGCTAAATTAGGGACGGCTATCGCAGATAGCCCTCGTGTAGCTTTGCACGAAATTCATAAAACAAACAAACTAACATTTTGAAATTCAAGACAAACCAAACGAAGATCTTACGAAAAATAATTATATTTCACAAGCACCGTCTTTAAACTAAAGTTAATCCGTTTTCTCTCTGTATTTCTTTATGCACATTACACATAAAGAAATGGTACAGAAGTCTTTCAAAAACATATGCCGTTTTATGTTGTATTCCTACGTTTCCAATACACAATGCACTTAGAAAAGATAACGTCGACTTTACTTTGTCACTTTACTTGTTTGCTTCAAATGCTAGTTTGTGATGTAGAAAAATGTGACAAACTAGCAGTGAAAGAAACAGTCGTTGTCTCCTTGAACAATCCCTGTGATCTTCATGTAATAACTTTATAGTCATTGTGTTACACGGAAAGCTGTCAACTGAGGCACAAATCCACCAACTTGCCTTTCAAAACGACAAGTTCCTAATAATCCTTTTTGCTTTTATTCCAGACATCACATTTTTACGAAATCTGAACATGAGTTCTTAGGAAAGCTAAAAAAATAATATATATAAACATATTTTTCCAGATTACAAAAGTATAGAAATACAAAGCAAAGCATTAAATACGTAAAATAACACTGGAAAAAAGGTTTAAGAGCTCCAATAATGTCAAACTTTGAGAAGAACAATAACGTTCCAAAGATCAGGTGTTAATCAGAGGTTTGCTCCAAATTTATTTGCATATCGGGATAGTATTGAAACTCCAAAGTATTATCATTAGTTATTATGCATAGTATTGTATTTCGTCTTTGTTATGTATAGTGTTTATTACTCTAACGATGTACGTTGAGAAAAATTGCCAATGTAATTGGTTGCTATGGGAAAGCAAGTAAGTTGATCAATGGTCGAAATAAAACTAAATTTTGGAAGTAACAGCAAATGGATCAAAGCGTCGAAACGAAGCTGAAGATTGAAAATAATAGCAAATTGATCAAAATGTCGAAACGGAGCTGAAGATTGAAAATAACAGCGAATAGGTCAAAATGTGGAAACGAAGCTGAAGATTGAAAATAATAGCAAATTGATCAAAATGTCGAAACGGAGCTGAAGATTGAAAATAACAGCGAATAGGTCAAAATGTCGAAACGAAGCTGAAGATTAAAAATAACAGCGAATAGGTCAAAATGTCGAAACGGAGCTGAAGATTGAAAATAAAAGCAAATGTGTAAAAATGTCGAAACGAAGCTGAAGATTGAGAATAACAGCATATTGATCAAAACGTCAAACGAAGCTGAAGATTGAAAATAACAGCAAATGGATCAAAACGTCGAAACAAAACTAAATTTTGGAAGGTAAAATCTAGAAACTGTAGAAAACTGATCACTAGTCAAGACAAAGCTAAAGTCTAGAAACTATAGAAAACTGATCACTAGTCAAGACAAAGCTAAAGTCTAGAAGCTATAGAAAACTGATGATCAGTTTTCTATAGTTTCTAGACTTTAGCTTTGTCTTGACTAGTGATCAGTTTTCTATAGTTTCTAGACTTTAGCTTTGTCTTGACTAGTGAGTTTTTAAAAAAAGTCCATTTTTACTTCATACCTATTAACAACGAAGCATGATAACTGTAGGGGTAAAGAAATTGAACTCACGTATAGAATCTGTACAACGCTCTGAATAAACCTGGTAATAATTTAAGATTTGATTAACAACATAAAAAGTGCATGAATAGAATTATACAATATTACATCCTGGATGTAAATAGTTTGGTTCTGAACACAAAAGTTTGTTTTAATTATTAAAACAAATACTTAACATAACTTACTGAAAACACGAAGTGGGATTTCAACAAATAACTAAGATGGTGAACAAATAAGGTAAAATTATTCTTAAAATTTTTATTTTCTCTTGCGCGAAACAAGTTAATTAACTAAATTTTTCGTGAGTAGTTGAATATAGAATAACTTTGCTTAAACCACATATTTCTTGCGTGTATAGGAGTAATTAGATGTTACTGTTCACATTCTCGAAATATTGAGGTTATCAACTGAAATAATAAAATAAAACGTGAATTTCGGTTAATCGTTAACGATATTATTTTCTCTGAAAGTATTGAGTTTAGATTTTACAGTAGATTTATCAAGAATAGAAGCTTGGCTAAAGATTGAAGTAACAGAAAATGGATCAGTTATCCAAACGAGGGTAAAACCAGGAAGAAATATTAAATCAATCAGCTGCCAAATAAAGTCGAGATGTTCCACAATCATGCATCTTTGTTTTCGTTGTTTGTTTGTAATTAAGCACAAAGCTACACAATGGGCTATTTGTGCTCTGCCCACCACGTGTATCGCAACCGGAATTCTAGCGTTATAAGTCCACAGATATACCGCTGTGCCACTTGGGGGGGGGGGGACACATCTTTGTTTTTCTCATTTATTATAGTACAACGCTAAAAACCGGGTTTCGATACCCGTGGGAGGCACAACATAGATAGGCCATTGTGTAGCTTTGTGTTTAACTACAAAAAATTTAACTTCTTTATTATAAAGAAAGCAACTTCCGAATAGTAAGATTTAAAATAAGTTTGTTTTCTTTATTTGAAGCCATAAGTTTAATAAGTATTGTGTCTTCTTTGGGTTAACAATGAACAAAGTAGCTTCTGTTCGTGGTATGAAACATAAATGCACACAGAACCTGCATTACATGAAATCAAGTTGTTCTTCCCACTGCTGATGTTCAAGTTGTTCTTCCCACTGTAGTGATAATCTTTGGAAGCGTCAGAATTACATAACTGACTCTTACTGTTATCTTAATCACAACGAGTTACCTAAGTATGATATTTGTTTGATCCCTGTCATTGTAAGTCTGTAAGAACTAGTGGCTTTTCTAGGATTTTTTTATTTGGGTATGCGGAAGAGGATCAAAGAGTTAGTTGGGAGAAGAAGGGAGAGTCTGGTGTTTTTATCTACGAAAGAACCATACTTTTTTCTGCCTCTAAGAAATGTTTATTTATTCGAGATGATGTATTTAAGTGTCTTACACTCACAAAAAATAAACCTATCATTCTATAGGTATTGAAATGAACTAATAGACCATTCCAAGCTTTTACTTGTTGTTAAACCAATGTTTAAAGAACTCTATTCGGTTATGTACCAGCTTCATAGTGTCGGATAAAAATACGAAGAATTAAATTGTGGCGGAATGCTACAAGTTCTTCAAATACCTATAGAATGATAGATTTCTTTTCTGTGAGTGTAAAGCACTTAAATACACCATTTCGATTTTCGATACCTCACTACTATAAAGGCTTGGTTTGGTCTGAAGTTTCATTATCCCAGAAACTTGGTGCACCAATATATCTCCTATGAACTTAAAAAGAACCTTGCAACACACTGACGTTGACAATGATTTAGTGCATTAACCCATATATATTTTTTTGTTCCTTAGCTCAGGCACTATCCGGATAGAATATTCGGCGTCCGGGTAGTGAAAGTGGGTTTTTCTCGGGGTACTCCCGTTTTCCTCCCACATCAAAATTATGGGGGATTAGGATTTTCAGATCGATGTTTTTTTTCAAAGTGTAAACGTTGTAGCCTCCCAAACCAGCCAAGAAGACACATCAAACTAAAGCACCATTAAACTAAAGTACCATTACTATGATCAGTGCCACCTATGTCTCATAGCCAGATTTAAAATCTGCCTTGATTTCTTTATTTGTTTTTATTTTATTTAAAGTTGTTTTTTTTTTTCCACGATACATATAGTCCGTGAGCGGGGTGAAGAGATAATGATTCTGAACACCCCCGATTACTTTTGACCCTTGGTCAAGTTAATTTGGCCTGGGGTTAAAAGGTTTAAATCGAAACGAAACGTGTTACTCCCGATGAAGGCCCGAACAAACGTGGTCAAAACATTTTTTGTTTTGCAATAGAAATAATTGTAGTTTTATTAATAATCCAAATTTCACTGGTCTTCATTTTATTTTCCTTTCAATTTCAGGTGGCCGTTTTCAAGAATAAAAGGGGGGGATGTTTTGAAATGTGATTGATAAATTTAATAAAATGTGTTACGAAATGATAACGTTATGAGCCGAGTACCTCAGTGTATGTTATCTTTAGTTTTATAATCGATTGTTCAAGCTAATTCAGTAGAAACATAAAACAATCTTATAATTCTATTGTAGAACAGTTATGTTTATACATTATGACGGAGTAATATACATATTAATCATAGGCGGCGGTGACACGGGGGGAACGTCCCCCCATTGTGACACGGTAACGAAGCGTCCTCATGAATGGAGAACAGTTATGTTTATACATTATGACGGAGTAATATACATATTAATCATAGGCGGTGGTGACACGGGGGGAACGCCCCCCCCCCATTGTAACACGGTAACGAAGCGTCCTCATGAATGGAGAACAGTTATGAATGTATAGCTATAATGGAAATCTGCTTTTCAGTTTTGACTTCAGGGGTCACGGTTAACATATAGCAAACAAGGTACCTCCCCCCTACCCCCTAATTCAAATATGTTTCACCGCCTATGATTTTTATAAAATACTTTTAAGTCAACCACAGACGACGTTAGTGTGCCACTGAATATATTTTTATGTTTGCTGTTATTACAGACAAGGCCACAATACACTTACGTAGCTGTGTACAGCCAAGAAACAGCCGTACTATAAAAGGCTATCCTGTCATCCAAGGTGTTGCGAGCTGAGTTAAAAAACAGAGGTGAGTAAACTTCCTAAGGTTTATGTATTGTAAAAATGCATTTAGCCAGGCATTCTGCATAACACTATATAACACGCACCTGAGTTAAAAAACAGAGGTGAGTAAACTTCCTAAGGTTTATGTATTGTAAAAATGCATTTAGCCAGGCATTCTACATAACACTATATAACACGCACCTGAGCAGTGAACCAACTTAATAGCACGTTAGGTCGTACTGAATATCAATTAGACAAAATCTTACTGGATTACAGTCCCGGCGACAGCAGAGAGAGGGGGGAGGGCAGTTGATATCAGACTAACCGCCCTGCTAAGGCCACAAATGAACGTATTTATTGTCAAACAACTAGTACGTTGCAGAGTGTACGTTGAGCATTCCCAAAATTAACAGTATTATATGATTGCATAATTACTTTTATTGGTATTAACTTCTTTTTTTATGGGGGGGGGGAGTCATAATGTTTCCTTTGGCTCGAGCTCGATTGCAGTTATAAGAAGAGCAGTCAGAAAACTGTATACATTTTCGAAATTGCATGCGTTTATAATAGATGACGTAATAGATGACGTCAAATTTAATCTTCGAAGACTCAGAAAATTCTTATCAGATTCAGAATGATCAACAGTCCTGATCATTTTTTTGTGGTGTTGTGAGGAGTCTCAACCTTAATGTGCCCATGAAATTTGGTACAAATCCAATAACACTTTACAGAGTTATTTACCCCCCAAAACCGCGAAAATGCCCCATCTCCCCATTATAAAAAATATTCAAACTGATCCAAAATCTGGATCCGGATTTTAATTCGGACTAAATTCGGGGTGGATTGTCCAATACTGACTTTTCCATCTTTGGTAAAATTTTCGTGTACATCGGTCTATCGGTTTTCGAGGTACGCGTGCGGAAACACGGACAGACATACGAACCCGATTGCAATACCCTCGCCCCCCCCCCCCGTCTCAGGAGCAAGGATAATTACTACCATTCTGGCTCATTCCTTGCTAAACCAAACTCGGTTTCTACTACACCTCCCCCAGCTAAATCAGGATTACTTATTAAAGATTTACTCAGTGTGTAAACAAGTTAAAACAAGCTAAAAGAGCTATCTGAAATAAGATATTCTCCATCATTCTATATTCTACTATACCAAAAGATGATAACCCCCAGATTTACTCAGCGTGTAAACAAGTTAAAACAAGCTAAAAGAGCTATCTGAAATAAGATATTCTCCATCATTCTATATTCTACTATACCAAAAGATGATAACCCCCCCAGATTTACTCAGCTTGTAAACAAGTTAAAACAAGCTAAAAGAGCTATCTGAAATAAGATATTCTCCATCATTCTATATTCTACTATACCAAAAGATGATAACCCCCCAGATTTACTCAGCGTGTAAACAAGTTAAAACAAGCTAAAAGAGCTATCTGAAATAAGATATTCTCCATCATTCTATATTCTACTATACCAAAAGATGATAACCCCCCATATCTTTTCCAACCCTGTATTGTCTACTATAACCAACAGACGGTAAACTCCAGATCTACAACAGATGGTAAACCCCACACCAACTTCAGTTGTTAATTTTACATCACAACGGGTTACAAACTCCAAATCGAGACCACAATCTTTATATAAGATAATCTGATTAATTATAACGTCAAAAACAGACTATAGCATTGTGTGATATCACCATCTGATAAAATAACTTAATTTGCACTCCTCGTGAAGACAAAAAAAAATTCATAAAATGTAACCCCTTTAACTGCTGTAAAGCATGCGAATTTAACTAGTGCCAAACGAATCTGTCTACGAGTGTTTAATTATGACTCAAATTACGTTAAATAGTTTTATACAGAGTAAATACCTTAATGCGAATTATCATGTAAACACTTGTATATTTTTCTAGTCCCCCACCCCGTGGTGGGACAGCGGTAAGTTTATTGAGCTGCAACGCTCAAATCCGGGGTTCGATCCTCCGCGGTGGTAGGTTAATGTGGCTTTGTTCTAAAATACCCATGAAAGCAACCAAGCTTTTTCTCGTACCAACCGAGTCTGTAAACAAAACGCTAATCGACCCCAGATGATGGCAAAGATCTTAAGATCATATTCTACTTTCTTCTATCAATTGACCCTGTTAAACGAGCCCAGTAAGTGTTGAACAGTTTCCTGTAATATCCGCTAACGCAGGTGTCGCAGAAACGGAAGTTGTAATTTGACATTTAAATACTCAAAGAGGTTTTATTGCATTAAGAAAACGATGAGAAATTATAAGGTTAATTTCCAAACTACCGTCGTGTAGTATGTAATTACTGTAGTTCCTGGGGGTTCTCAGTCACGTGATCTCTTTTTTTTTTGTCACGGCTAAGCGACCTTTTATTCTGTTAAAAGCGTTAATTGTAATTGTAAGCTGAAGAAACCAAATGTTTCCTCCCCCCCTAAGCCACGCTCATTCCACCGTGAGATGTCACCGCTGTTTCTATTAGTTTCCCGTATTAAAGGGGCGGGAGGAAAAAAATTAAACCACCAGAAACTCTTTTTCTTTTCACCTACTATATGATAATTAACAGAAAGGTGGATGGGCGTTATCCTCAACGACTTGCTACGTTAACTCGAGAACAATAACGAACACCATGTGATTGATGTGATCCTATTATTGAGTGAGTGTAACGACATTGATGGTTTTTTTTTTAGTCAAATTATCTCAGAGGAAATTCAATTAACTCTTTGAATTTGAAATTCTCAAAAGAAGATTATGTAATAAGTGTGTTCCGGAGCAAGGTTTTGTTTTATTTTAATTAATTACAGAAATAACGAAAACACTTCCAATTTTTACTGGGCTGTGAAGAATCTGGCAAGATCAAACAAAGAAAATCCTTCCTGAGCGTTTTTTTTTTTTGTTAAGCACAAAGCTACATAATAGACTATTTGTGGTCTGCCAGCCGCAGGTATCGAACCCGATTTTTAGTGTTATAATCTCTAAGACTTACTGCTGATCCACCAGGGGGCATTTGGCCTCGGTGGAAGTTACGTAGTTCTATTCCAGTAATAAAAGCTAATAACACAACAACAGGTAGTGTAAATAGTGTCATGGATATATTTACGACATCGCGATAAATTTTAACTTAACACTAACAATCAACCTTATAATAGATATATAGCTAATTAAGTACACTTTTATTATGCTTCTTAAAATATTAGAATGCATTGTTCCATCAGTCGGTTACCTCCGCTGTTAATGACACTTTCGGCCGTAATCCCAATAATAACTTACAAGATTCAACAAGTTCAGGAGATTTAGGTTAGTCCCAAATACACATATATTAAGCTCACAATATAAAACATTCTTTGTGATAAAAGTATACTAACAAAAAATAAGTAAAATTAAGAAGTGGTCACATTTGATATACTAAATAGTATAACGTAGGGCATTAAAACAATGGACAAAAAACAACAACATGCAACTCTCACTGTTTGATGTCCATGTTCGTCGTGATTTGGTTTAATCAACACTTCCCGTACACTTAAACTAAGAATCCCTGAGTCAAAGGAAAACATGTTAAAACATGTAAACCACACTATGTCTGTTCCAATGAGGCCTTTCGTCCAGTACCAGGGCTCATCAGGCCAACTGTGATACGACACACATAGTGGTGACATATATACCATCAGTTTACCAACAGCTGTTAGGGTGTGAATCAGATTAAGCAAGTGAATTGTAATTATTATAAAGTCGTTTACTGATCAGATTTTTTTGCGTATTAACCAATAACATTACATTATTTAGTCTATTGTTATTTGTACACTGTTACATGGCTATTAGAACACAACGTTTGAAAATGCAAACTCGTAACATCTGACTGTTTCCGTTGTTTAATTTCATCACTGCTCGTGACATGTTAAAATTTCCCGCAGTAGCTGAAATAACAATAGCAGTTTTTTTTTAGATATAATGACGTCAAGACACACCTGATTTATACACTAACATATCACTCGTGATAAGTCACGCAGAGAGACAACGCTTAAGCCAATACAGAACAAGTCCACTGCTACGGAAAATTTGATACGAAACTTCCATCGTCCACACAATATTTGTTTATGGAGAGAAATATACTAAAATCTTCACTTTTATTTAACAAAAACACTTTGATCCTTTCTTAATGTCTTGTCTTTAACCTTTTTTTTTTGTTCCCCCAGTGAATCAAAAGTAAGTTTAAGGATTTATAACAGTAAAATTCGTGGTTCGATTTTCCTGTGGTGGAAAGTTTGTTTGTAATTAAGCTCAAAACTGCACAAAGGGCTATCTGTG